AAAAATTGACCAAATTCTAGGCATACTGCAAAATCTGTCAATAGAGGTAAACCAAATCCGTACAGATCAACGAGAATACAACAAGGAGTTAAAGAAGTTAAAGGAGGAAAATGAGATGATAAGGAAGGAAAACAACAGCATTAAAAAGGAATTCAAAGAGATGAAAGAACAGTTAGACGAGACCAACAAGAGACTAGAACGACTTGAAAGAGAGAGGAGGAGAAATAACGTTGTAGTATCAGGATTAGAACTAGATAACGATCCATCGTCCCTAAAAGAAGACATAGGAAACTTCATACAACAAGAATTGGGAGTGGGGGTGAACATTAAAACAGCCTTTAAAATAGGACCAAAACTTTGTTTAATACAACTAGAGACCTTTGAGGATAAAATAAAGATATTGCAAAATAAGATGAAGCTAAGAAATATGGGAGAGGAGAAGGTATTCATAAATAACGACCTAACAAGAAAAGAAAGAGACATAGACAATCAAATCAACAATCATAGCAAATCAGGAAAAGAGCGGAAGAAGAAAGGAAACTAGGAAAAACTGTCAAAATTGGATACCAGAAGATCACCATAGAAGGAAGGGAATGGAGGTGGAATAGAAGAAAGAATGCAGTAGAGGAAGTGGCAAGTAATGGAAATCCAGTAGGCAACCCAAAAAACTGATTAAGAGATGGACTGGACACGAGATGACGAAAACCGCAACGAAAATGGACATGCACAAAAGAAATAGCAAAAGTAAGCACAGTAGAGAGAAGGGTGGAACAACTTTAAGAATAGGCACTTGGAACATTAGAAGCTTGAACGGCAAAGAGCACGAACTGGTAGAAGAATTTGAAAACGCAAAACTAGATTTCTTAGCAATTACAGAAACAAAGAAGAAAGGCCAAGGAATAATACAGCTCGAAAGAGGACACACACTACTATACAGTGGAGTAAAACCGGAAGTAAGAGCAGCAGAAGGAGTGGGCTGTATAATAAGAAAAGAACATGTAAAATGTTTGAAGAAATGGGAATTTATATCAGGGAAGGTTCTAAAAGTGGAACTACAACAAAACCAACAAAACACAATCACCCTGGTTATAACCTACGGCCCTAGCGAGGACGAAATAGCTAGCAAAAAAGACAAATTCTGGGAAGATTTGACAGCAATCACAGAAAGTATAAGCGGCAGATTAATAATACTAGGAGATTTTAACGGACGAGTCGGAAAAAGGAAAAATGAGGGAGCAGACGTAATCGGAAACCAAGGGGAAGATCATAAAAACAATAACGGAGTGAGATTAATAAACTTTTGTGTAGACAACAACCTAATAATAACAAACACATTCTACAAACACAAAGAGATACACAAGTTTACGAGAGAAGTTGAGAGCAGAAACGAAAAATCCATAATAGATTATATTCTTATTAATAGAGAATACAGAAAAGAAATTATAGACGTCAAAGTAAAAAGGGGACCAGAAATTTACAGCGACCACTACTTAGTAGTTGCAAAGTCTCGTTTAGCTACAGAAATGCAAACAAATTGCGTGGAAAAATCACACCTGACAAAAGTTAACGAAGCCATTAGGACATATAAATTACAAGAACCGGAAATATTTATGAAATTTACAGAAGAAATAGAAAAAAAGGCAGAAAAAGATTCAGCACAATGGGAAACCATGAATTTGGAGCAACTATGGCTGCTCTTCAAAGAAAGCGTAATATCAACAGCGAAAGAAACGTGTGGTGTAATAGGCATAAATAAAAACAAAAAACAAACGAAATGGTGGAATTAAGAATTAAAAGAACAAGTAAAAATCAAGAAAGAAAAATGGAAACTATACCTAAGTCTGAAATCGGAAGCCAGCTACCAAGTATACAAGCAACAGCGAATAAAAGTAAAAGCAATGGTACTACAATCCAAACAGCAAACATGGGAGGAGTTCGGAAGAAAAATAGAGGCAGATAGCAAAACAAACCAAAAACTATTTTATAAAGTGCTAAAAAACTTAAGGAAAGATAAACACCACACATTGAAGTACGTGAAAGCAAAAGATGACAGTGTATTAACAGAAGAGAAAGCAATCATAGAAAGATGGAAGGAATACTTTGAAGAACTGCTCAACCTAGACACACAAGCCAATTTTCTAACCGAGGAAGAAATCAGCTATACAGAAAGCGAAGAGGACAGTAATATACAAATGGAAGAACTGAGGAAAACGATAAAGTATATAAAAAAAGGGAAATCAGCTGGCCACGACAAGATAAATGCAGAGATGCTGAAAAACCTAGGGGCGCGAGGGACAGAAATGCTAACAAAAATCTTCAACAAGGCATGGACTACGGGAAAAGTACCAGAAGACTGGAAGTTGGGAATAATAATACCGTTATTCAAGAAGGGCGACAGTAGAGACTGCAGTAATTATAGGGGCATTACAATACTAAGTGTGGTATCAAAGGTATATGAACACATAATGGAGGCAAGACTAAGAATCCAAATAGAAGAGCAGCTGGCAGACACTCAGAGTGGCTTCAGGAAAGGAAGGAGCGTACAGGATCATATCTTCAGCATCAAACAAATGATAGAGAAAAGCAAAATGCAAAATTCTGAAATTTACATGGCCTTTCTGGACCTTGAAAAAGCATTCGATAGAGTACCGCGAAGCGTAATATGGAAAAGTCTAACGCAAAGGAAGGTGAGTGCAAAGTTAATAGAAGGAATAAAGGGGTTATACGAAAATAACAAAAGTTATGTGAGGAAGAATAATAGACAATCGACAACATTTGAAATAAGCGAAGGTTTAAGGCAAGGAGGGGTCCTGAGCCCAATACTGTTTCTACTAATAATGGACCATATCATCAAAGCAACAGCAACCAGAACCAAAAAGGTGCATATCGGTACCAACAAGCTAATACCCGTGAACGTGTCAGAATGTGCCTTTGCGGACGACGTAATGATTTGTGCAGCAAAGGAGAAGGACCTGCAAGATAACCTACGGATATGGGAAGAAGAATTAACAAAGAGAAACATGATAATAAACACGAATAAAACAAAAGTAATGGTGATAAGTAAGGAGAACAAGAACATTAACATAGTAATAAATCAAAACAAGATAGAACAAGTCGAAGCATTCAAGTATTTAGGGGTATTGATAGACAGAGAGGGAAATATGGAAATGGAAATTAACGAGAGAATTGGTAAGGCAACAAGATTATACCACAGCCTAAACACGGCGTTTATAGGCAGAAAGGAAATTAGTACAAAAACAAAAATGACAGTATACAAAACGGTATTTAGACCAATCCTAACATACGGAAGTGAGAGCTGGGTGCTGACGAATACTATGAAAAGTAAAATACAGGCCACCGACATGAAATACTTAAGAAGAGTTAAAGGAATCACCAGAATGGACAGAATAAGAAATGAGGCGGTGCGAGAAGAACTGGAAATTGAGTCAATTATTGACATGACAGAGAAACAAAAACTGAAGTGGTTTGGGCATATATGCAGAATGGACAACGACAGACAAGTTAAAAGGATATGGGAATCAGGCGTGCAAAAGAAAAGAACAAGAGGACGACCCAAAAAAACGTGGAACGATGAAGTGGCCGCAATACTGAAAAGAAAAGGAAGAACGTGGGCAGAAGCGAGAAAACTGGCAAGAGATAAGAAACAATGGACAAAATTTGTACACGAAATTGAAATGTAAATTAAAATTATGTACCTTACACCTTAGGGTAAAAGGTTTCTTTGATTATATATATATATATATATATATATATATATATATATATATTGTTGTGTTTATTTTGTTTTAGTTGTAACTTGAAAGAAATTATAGAGCGTCTGGATGTGACAATTTTGTTTAGTTCAATTAATTAACCGGGGGGGTTATTAATAATTTGAGACACAGGATTGCGTAAATTTCATGTTATAGTTTTGGTTCAATTTCTTAGAAGTGTTCTGTTTTTATTTTATTCCTAGAATTTTTTTCGATGTAAATTTCTTTTTAAATTTTATTTGCCGTTAACGAGGTATAGCGCGAAGTAGAGATAAGGTTCTTCGCAGAATTGCCGGGCGTACGTGCCGTTTAGCAAGAAGTTGAAAAATCGACGCTTCGCGTGATTGGCGGACGGGATGTTGAAGAAAGGAGAAGGGCTTTTGGCTTAAATAGAAAATTTTGGAAGAGAGCGGGGCTTTTTGGTCGTTACAAAGCCAACCGGCGCTTCTTCGGTTACGTTATTTTTTGAATTTTGTGGAAGTTTCTTGCGTAGTGGATCCAGGTTTAATTAGAATTTTGTGTCTGCCGTTTTAAGAAGAATTATTGAGAAGTTTAAGAAGTTTGTCGCCGTCCTGTTTTTTTTTTATTTTGCGGAAACACGGAAGTTTTGAATTTGTGGGTACCCGAAGAGAGAAGACGTCGGTGTTTGAGTGTTTGGTTTGCGTGTTTGTGTACGGATACCTCTTTTTATCGGAGTACGTTACTCGGACTAATTTTAAAAGTAAGTAGTAGTTAGTGTTTTGTTTTGTCTTGTTTTTTTTTGTAATGTTTGAGTAATTTGTTTTTTTTTTGTGTGTCATTTATCTGTTTAAAATTGTAACAATTTGTAAAACAGAAATTTACGCAATTTTTTGTTTGAAATTAAACCAGTCATTGCAATCCAGGTTTTGTTTATTAGAGTCAAGGAGAGGTAATTGTCGGCGTCTCTTACTTTGTTTCAAGTTGATTAAATCTGGGGGTAAAGTTTCATATTGGAATTTAAGGATTTGGTTAAGCCACCTATTTATGTCATTGTTGGAATGCTGTAGGGTGGCAGAATCCAGCTGGACCTTGAGATGCGGATAAAAATTTTGTTTTCATTTTAATTACAACTGAGCTAGCTAGAGGGAAATCGTGGGATTCCCAGAAGTGTAGGTTAGGTCTCACAACAATATATATATATATATATATCCCGCTATCATTATTGCGTCCGTACGTATTTGTACTTTATTGCGTCTCCTAGAACGGATAGGAATTCTTAAACTATTGCCGCGAATGTTGGTTTAGAATCGTATGTCGTGGCTAGAATCGTAACCAGATTTCAAAAATTCCCAGTATTTCGATATACGAATTTTCAGTCATATTGAATCATTCCTGCGTCCTTTCATATGCGCCATTGTCGCACCCGTATATGGATTTCGCCGTATATTATTGCGTCCTGCAATGTTGCCAATGTTAATGCTCAGTCATTCCTCGTCTAATCACATATTCAAGAGGACATTGATCCGGCAGGAATTAATTTCATTATACGAGTCCAATTGCTTTTCCTTGTAAAGGTGTGGGACTTGGTATACAATTTTGATTTTGGTTTTTGTCGACGTATGTCTATTGTAATTACTTGTATTGAATTTGTAAGGTAGAAGTAAATAATTATAAATAAATAAATGTATTCTTATAAGTTATTGGTGATCGATTTCGCTCTTATTTAGCATATTCGGACCTTAGCGTCAATTAATTAAGGTCCGAAGATGCTAAATAAAAGCGAAATCGATCACGTATAAGAAAACATTCATTTAATACTATAATTACTTACTTTTACCTTATCTACAAATAAAACAATTTTATTGAATAAAATCTTTTGAATTTTTACATTTTCGCAGATCAGCTCGGGGTTACGGAATAATGCAAAAAAAATAAAAGTGTACGCTTGCAATTAAAATTTGTTTTTAAATGCTGGAAAGAGTATAAGAGACGTCACGTATCAATTTAACATCCCCAAGTTAATATTTACAGCCATTAAAGGGGGGTCAGCTGTTAACCATCAACCAAAAACCAAAAGCGAAATTTAATTTATTGATAACCAAATACAACCTTTTAGGTTAAACCATTTTAAAGAATAGAATTTTTTGAGTTGTTACATTTTTGGATATCAGCTCTGGGTTACGGAATATTGCAAAAAAATTAAAGTGTACGCTTGTAGTAAAAATTTGTTTTTAAATGCTGGGAATCGTATAAGAGACGTCACGTTTCAATTGAACCTCGCCAAGTTAATATTTACAGCCATTAAAGGGGGGTCAGCTGTTAACCATCAACCAAAAATATTCAAATGCGAAATTTAATTTGTTGGTAACCAAATACCACCTTTTATGTTAAACAATTTTATTGAATAGAATTTTTTGAATTGTTACATTTTTGGAGATCAGCTCCAATATAATTAAACGTATCTGGACGCAACAATGTACTTTCCGAATGGAGAGTATAATAATTATCCTCACTTAAGATATAAAAAGATGATTATCTTATCGAAATGATGTCTATACATAGCTTACAGTGTTGCCACATGTTGGACGCAATAATATACCAACTTTGTAAAACGTATACTCGAAAGCGTATACTAATTTACCGCCCCTAGCTGCAAAGTGCTGAACTAAAAATATACAACTTCGTACGTATTGCAACTATTATTGCGTCCACTAAAAATTCGTTATCTTTTAATATCTCGAAAACGGCAAGAGATGTCTCAAAGCTGGTTTGTGCTATAGGAATCTGTTAAACCGGTCCATCCTTCATTGATAGTATTTGAATGATAAAATGGCGGGAACATGGAAATACAGGCGATGCCTTTATTGCGTCCGATATTCGGACGCAATAATGTGCGTAATTGGTAAATGTATGGACGCAATAATGATAGAATGATGTCTATATATATATATATATATATATATATATATATATATATATATATATATATATAGACATATCCACCGCACCTTTCGACATCCAAACGTATAAATTTCCCTATCTCTTTGACATCCGTTGACGTTTCGACATCCGATTTCGGATGTCGAAACGTTTTCCCGTGTTATTTCACTCTAGAGCCCCTAAGGGTGAGGGGGAAGCAATTTCAGGAAGATGTCGAAAAGATATGGTTGTAAAATTAATAAGTATATTTTAGTTCCGCGCTTTGCTGTGAAGAGCGCGCGCAGGAGCTTTGGTGTGTATATTGAATATACAAACGCAATGTCATAACTGCGACTGAATGACATCCAGCGTATAATTGAAAAAATGTACGATTCTACTCATAGCCCCTAACTACATCCGAAATTTGGCAATCGCGCTTTATATAAATAAACTCCACGATATCTGCTTTTGCACCTATTTAGCGAAATAAACGGAAGAAGAATTACATTAACGTTTGGTGTATAATTAAAAGTTTATACTCTGCGAACTCTTTAACATCATCTATTTTATAGTTAATTAATACTTCTAAATGGGAAGAAATTAAGTTAGGTTCCACTCGCTGTTCTAATCCAAATTTCACTTTTGAATGTTATACGTTGTTGATATTCAGGCGATCCCCTATTTGTTATATATATATATATATATATTGATTCAGAGATAAAGAGAGAGTCAATAAATTGAATTGTAGCCATCTCAATAGAATTAGTACTATATTTTGAAAATCTCCTTTGAATTAAAAATTAAAAATAATTAAAATTGAAACCTATTTGCACCATTTTTAGCCAAAATGTTGCATCGTATTAACCATACACGAAATTTCGTTTTTGAATATTTCTGGTTATTGAACCACTTATTTGTTCTAAATAATGCTACAGACAAAATTATTTGAACCCTGACTTTTCTAATATTACTTGTACCATTTTAAAAGGAATTTTTCCAGTAAACATCCACTATTAGGTTTTTGTATCACTCTGCAACTAGGAAGAGACCCCGTTAAAATTAAAATTCACAAAAATCTATTTTGCACCTTTATTTAACTTAAAAGGTTGCATCCGATTAACCTTAAACGAAATTTCGTTTTTGAATATTCTGGTTATTCACCCCCTCTGATTGGTTCTAAATACTGGTATAGACAAAATTATTTGAACCCTGACTTTTCTAATATTACTTGTACCATTTTAAAAGGAATTTTTCCAGTAAACATCCACTATTAGGTTTTTGTATCACTCTGCAACTAGGAAGAGACCCCCGTTAAAATTAAAATTCACAAAAATCTATTTCCCACCTTTATTTAACTTAAAAGGTTGCATCCGATTAACCTTAAACGAAATGTCGTTTTTTAATATTTCTGGTTATTGACCCCCTCCTATTTGTTCTAAATAGTGGTACAGACAAACTCAATTGTACCCTGACTTTTCTAATATTGTTTGTACCATTTCGATAGGAATTATATTAAACTAAACATTCGCTATTCGATTTTTTGTCACTTGCAACTATGAAGCGACCCCCGATAAAATTAAAATTCACAAAATCCTATTCTGTACCATTATTTAATTCAAAAGGTTGCACCCGATTAAATTTAAACGAAATTTGGTCTTTTGAATATTTTTGGTTGTTTGTCCCTCATTTATTTGTTCTAAATACTGGTACAAGCATCCATTTTTAGATTTTTGTACCACTCCGCAACCAAGTTAGTTGTTACTATTAGTTTAGTGTGAAACTAGCATGTTAGATGAAATTCCTAAAAATTTCGACATTAATTACTGCGTTGCAAAGGCAAACGATGAAAAATTAATAGATTAATATCCGACTTCATAAACTATGATTAGACCTAGTAGGATCACCAACACCTAGCCTTATAATCGAGGGGTGACTAACATTTCAATATTTTTAATCATTGGCAGAGTAAATTTTACTCTATGTCATTGTTTATGAAACCGGCCGTTTTGTTAAAAACAAAGCATAGAAAAAGTACCTATAATCTATTTTACTATAAAACATTGCTATTTGATCTCTGTCTTCCATAGTAAACCGTGCGA